GAAGACTAGAATATCTAACCATTTCTTGATGTTACAGAAAGGAAGCATATTCTTCTCAGTTATTTTAAGACCTTGAGTGTTGGTCCGGCCGGGGCTCGAACCCTCGACCTCCCGCACAATAGTCCAGCGCTCTATCCATTGAGCTAACCGGGAGTTTCTCTCACTCGCAATGGCAGCATATCAGCATGTAATGAATGCACACTACATTTAGTATTGGCTTTTGTTTATTTTGGAACATCTTCGGTCGTTCAACGTTTGATGACGACTTCGCGACATCTTCGGATCGCTTCGAATGCTAATCGTAATTAGCACATGATCACACTGTTTCCCAAAGCCACTTATTGTTAGTTTTGTACGACTACAGAGGACGATAAGCATCTCACGAATATTTGAAGATGGCGTGTGAAAAAGAAAAACTTTACATTGCAAAATGTTTTAAAATATGTGATCAGCGCATCATGAAAACCTCTTTATCGTTTGAATCAGCGAATTATACTCAGTAGATCCGAAGATATATTGTTTTCAGTTCTTGTCGTCACATTGCAAAAGGTGTTGAACGTCTCAAAATAATTTCACAGTGGCGTAATTTCAAAAATATTTTCCTTTCAGTAATATCAAAATAGGTTTGATCTACACATCATCAAAACTTTGAAGAAAAATTTTATCTATTCCAAAAGAAAGCAGTTTACTATTTTAGTCTACGAAAAATACTCAAAAGAGCCGCAAAATTTGCGAAGCGAGCAAGGTTGAGTTTAACAGTGACCCTATGAAACGGTACGTGGAATAGCGGAATGGCGGAATACCCTACAAAACGAAATGTTTCGTTTCATGAAACAAGTCTCACAAAAATGGAGTTGCAATTAATAATTTACTGTAAAAATTGAAATTAAAAGAAGCTTATTTTAATCATAACTGGATCGTAGAGAATATACCGATGGAGAAACAGTGAGGTTCTTGAGCTAGCCCTACAAGTTATCACTACTGTACTAACACTATTGTCATCATCATTATCACTATTACTAATACATCATTATTATTTTTATTAGTATAATTATTGCTATTAATTTATATATTTTTTAAACATCTTTCTCTTGTGGAACAAGCCTAACTCATAAATATGCGAGAAGCGGCAACAGTTGCCATATGCAGTCTTAACTGCCTATTTTTTTTTTTTAATTAAGGGACGGGAGGCGACGGCCTAACCTATCATAATGGCATGACCTTCACCACCAAAGATAAGGATAGTGACGCCCACAAGGAAAACTGTGCACTGAAGCATAGTGGAGCTTGGTGGTACAAAGGATGTGCGTATTCGAACCTGAATGGTCTTTATCATGTTGGCGTACATTCCACAAATCCCGTCTATGATGGGATTTTTTGGAGCAACTGGAAGGGAATCTATAATTCTATTACACACGCTGCGATGAAAATCAAACCAGTCAAGTTTTAGAAACCGAAATATGATAGATTTATAGATCGTATTTCGTTTTCTTTATCTTGAAGGCATAAAAGAAGAGCTGCGATTGATGTTTTGAAGTTAAACCTTTTGTTAGAGTATTAGTGAGAATAATTCAATTAGGATGGCACTTAAGTAAAAGTTTCAAAAGGCCTCAAGCGTTGTGGACCAGTTTAAGTAAAAGCAGAACAGAATAAACACAGGCTATTTCTCGTTTTTATCAAAGGATTTCAAATTCCTAAAATGTAGCATTTGTGAGTAATTTTTCTTTTATTGAGAGAAAAACTATCTATATTCAGTAAGGTTTGAGTTGATAGAGATTCTTTAAGCAAGGAATCCTAGGTGGTTCGGCAACTTTTGTTTTTATTTGATTCCTTACCTAAGAGGTGCTGTGCAATTTAGGTTGGGATAAATTACAATAAATCCAGCTCAGTTTTCGCAAATCATTAGTCTTTCCTTCGTCTTTTCACACCTAACATTACAGTCTTTTTCCGGGGACAAAATCGAAAGCTTCAAACGTTAATTTTCGCTGTCTGATTATCAATTTATTTTACACAGAAACCATGAGTTAAACGAAGAGGAAAGCGCACAATTAACATGATTAAAGACGATCCTTTCGATTTCTCGACCAAAGCTGATTTCCTTTTCACCCTGAAAAGGGTTTGGGACACATGTTTCAATCCTAATAATTTGATCGTTCTAAAATTGCAAGATGTATTAGGAATGATCATGATTACAGACAATTCCATTGTCAGTTCTAGTGACGTATTTGTCGGTTCTATCGATGATCATAACTTGGTTTATGTAATTTTGATTTTAAGGACACCCAGGGTTAAGTCTTTTTACATTACTAGAAGGAGCTTCGGAGATTTAGCCGTTGTCTTTGAGGATTTTGATAACCAAGTGGATACGTTCAATACTTTGTTTACCGACATTTTAGAAGCTCACGAACCAGTAAGAAGGATATATTAAGAAAAAAATTAAAATCACCTGACTAAGGTATTTGACACCCTCAGGAGACAGCTAGGGCGAGTCTCGACTTAAACCTATTGTTTGGGTTGGGGTTGCAGAAATCACTTCAGTTCCATTGACCTTTTCCCGGTATTTTGATGTTAGGGTTACAGTTGGGTTAGGGTTTGAGCAACCACAAGTCAAGTGACAAGCATTCTCATTGCCCTCCAGCACCCTGGGGCAAGTAGCCAGATGAAACTGGTCTTGCTGAGCCCAAAACATTTTGCATTAACCTGATAATTTAAAAACTGACCACCCCTCTTACTTGCCCTTTGTGTTCTAATCCCAAATTGAGCCCTGCAAGGCTTTTGACAGCTACCCTCCCCCTCTAAATCCCTATTCTTTTACTAAGATTCACACAAAACTTTCTAGTTTTACTAATATCATAACTAGTTAACAGCTTGCATAGTTAGAGACATGAAAATATCAATATAGTGACAAAAAGAAGATTTTATTAAATAATTCATTAAATTTAAGACAAGACCAAATCCTTATGTCACTCCTGAAATCCGACAACTGATGCAAACTCGTGACACGTGGCACAATAGAGCCACTGAAACCAACGACCGCCTGTGTTAGAATGCAGAGAAACTTTTAGACGGGAAGTTAAAAGAGAACTTCGACTTGCTGAAAAAGCTCATGTTCAATCTTGAATTATTAATAGCAAAGGGAACACTAATGCGATTTGGAAATTTATCAATCGTTGTCTTCCCAGGAAAAGTAAGATCTTACCAAAAATAAGAGGCAATCTGATTAGTCACGCAGATAAATTTAACGAATATTTTACCATTGTAGGAAACCTAACGGCGCTGAATGCCTTCGATCTTGCTCTGGAATACGATTTTCACTATGTTGCAACAACAACGTACACCACCAGCCTATGGACATGATGAATGTCCTGATGATTTTCAGTTTCGTGCTGTCTCAGACTGACAAGGGGTAGGAAAGGTTATCAATGGCTTATCTTCGAATAAAGCAGCCGGCCATGATGTTGAATCAGTGCCCGAGTCCTTAGAGACAGTTTTCCAGCCAAATTATCAATTATTACAAGCATTATCTATAGTTCCTTTAGTACCTCTGCATTTCCGAAAGAGTGGAAAATGGCCGAGGTCTTTCCTGTGTTAAAGTCAGGTTGTTTTGAAGATTCATGTAACAACCTGCCTATCTCATTATTGCCTATGCTATCCCCGGTGTCTGAGAAGATAGCTCATCGTCAGTTCGTGGACTATCTAACCACCAATTAGAAGCTGTTTGAGCACCAGAGCGGTAATCGTAAATTTCATTCTACAGAAACGAGCAATAGGTGTCACATCTACCAACCGGCACAATTTACACACTTACATAATGTTGTCTCTTAAGTTCAACAAGAAACAAGTATCAAAAGTAGTAACGGTCTTATCTGGACATATGTGTCCACTTAGCGTGCAAAGGGTTAACTGGCTTACCGTTAAGGATAGACTCCTTCTTCACGATACTGTAATGGTATTTAAATGTCTTAATGATTTAGTTCCAAAATATTTGGTCAATTTATTTGTACCTCGTTCTCATATTCACACTAAGACACTGAGCGATCATGCAATCTTTTGCACATCCCTCGTTGTCGTCTGTCATATGGACAACGTTCATTCACATATCGAGGAAGCAAACTTTGGAACTGTATTTCTAATGACTTGAAAACTGCGGACAGTGTAAATAGCTTCAGACGTCGTTTGACGCAGAAGCTAATTAAGCGGAGAGCACATATACTGTAATGCCTCCCAGCTAGCTCAATGGATAGACCGCTGGACTGTTGTGCGGGAGGTCGAGGGTTCGAGCCCCTGCCGGACCAACACTCAAGGTCTTAAAATAATTGAGAAGAATATGCTACCTTTTTATAACATCAAAAAATCAACTGGGTCCGCAGTAATTGGCGCAAGCTGTTGCGGTGTCCCTGCCTGTCGGCGAAGCTAGTAAAACTAAAACTAAAACGAATTTGAGTAAACTTAACTTTTAATGCAGTAAATGGTTTGAACCCGGGGGTAACATGTGAAGGTGTAGTCTGATCGTCCGGGTGAGTGTAGTCCTGAGAAGGACTGTTGTCGGTGGCAGTGACTGACGTTTCGACAACCTGTGCGGAAGTCATCATCAGAGTCAAGTGAGTGATTGTTGTCAGTAGAATCACTCACTTGACTCTGATGATGACTTCCGCACAGGTTGTCGAAACGTCAGTCACTGCCACCGACAACAGTCCTTCTCAGGACTACACTCACCCGGACGATCAGACTACACCTTCACATGTTACCCCCGGGTTCAAACCATTTACTGCATTAAAAGTTAAGTTTACTCAAATTCGTTTTAGTTTTAGTTTTACTAGCTTCGCCGACAGGCAGGGACACCGCAACAGCTTGCGCCAATTACTGCGGACCCAGTTGATTTTTTGATGTTATAAAAAGGTAGCATATTCTTCTCAATTATTTTAAGACCTTGAGTGTTGGTCCGGCAGGGGCTCGAACCCTCGACCTCCCGCACAACAGTCCAGCGGTCTATCCATTGAGCTAGCTGGGAGGCATTACAGTATATGTGCTCTCCGCTTAATTAG